CCAGCAGGAGTTCACAACTGCTTTAAATCCCCAAAGTACGTGCTTCCCAGAACACTGCTGCTAAATACAGACATTAAAAAAAATTAACATTTGTATGGGCATACATTATAATAATCATACGTTTTATTATTGGGGGGAGGTCATATTTGGAAAACTATTAGTTGGGACTCTGAAGGCCTTAAACAGTAAAACCTGACTGCAATTCTCTCAGTACAATTCAAACAGATACCTGGGAATACTGCACTCTAGGAAAAATCCTGTACACTTGTCAGCAGGGTAGAAGACCTCCCCAACAGCACAGCCAAGGCTTACATGAGGTATAGGATTTTGAAAGGGCAGCACAGGAGTCCACCCGCCCAGCTGAGCTTAGCTCCATACAGGGGCCCCAATTACATATGTTGGCTATAAAATATGGCAAACAAATTAAAAGAAAGGGCCAAGGAAGAACAGGTTACCCTGTTGCAACAACAGGTGGATCTGCATGTAATTTCCCCTGCACAGATACAGACTCATGTTTAGTCAATGGCCCATAACCTGCACTTTAAAATGAGTGACAGTTCCTAAAACATGGCACTTCTGTACAATATTTTCCAGCTTCCAGCACTTGCCACCAAAGGAAATTACAGCAAATAAAACTATATTACAATGTAAGAGGCAAAATCCAGTTTCTACTGAAGTTACTGATTTTGAAGTTACCATATTGATATACAATAAAAATCAATGCTTGTTGCATGTTATAACAAAAACTGTATGCACAGAGAAGCAGCTCTCCCTATTTAACTCTGGGCTACAGATTTCAGAATTATGGCTGACTAACTTAAATGCATAATCAGATACACCACTATATGCATTTTTTCATGAAAATTATAGAAAGGTGTATTTTCACATTTTGCGACTGGCAGGAACCATGGGGGGGAAAAAAACCTGATTAGTTACGTAGCGAAAGATAACCCACACCTGCCAAGACTTGTGGGGGCAAAGCTTAGATGAGCAAAGGGCTAAGCCATGGACCCTGGAACGGTCAGAGACAAGGGAAAAATCCAAGGGTCTGCTGTGCAAGCACCTGTGCAATGGCAGACTTCCAATGGTATAAGTGGGGACTCACTCTGCCAGACAACATAACCATCAGAAGAGCAAGACCTCCACCTGCAGACCTTAACAGACAGAAAGTCAACAGGGATAGACAAAGAGAAAATAAGGCTGCAGCTGGGAAGATAGTACTGCTCAAAATCTGTAGCCAAGATGTCAGGGTGTTAGGGTAGGCAGGACTGATACTAGATGATGAAATGGGACAGGGACTAGCTGGGGGCTGGAACCAAAAAGAAATGTTGGAAACAGAAATAGCTAAAGAATAATGGCTAGAAACTGAAACACTGAAGAACTCAGCTAATCACAGAGCTGAGGTGCTAGCTGAATAATTGGATCAAAGAGGATGGCAGGAAGTTTTATCCAAAGTTCAAGCTTTCTTAAACAGTATGCATGTCTTATGTAAAGCAGCAGGAACCTGACATATTTAATCTGATAACGTAAAAAGGAAAACGGACATTCCAAAATAAACTACTTTTTGGACCACAAGAAAATGTATAAATAAAGTCATGCATTATAATGGTAATAAAAACAACCAAGGTTCCCAAAATCATTCTAATGTTGATCTGAACACACAATCTTTGCACACCCACACTATTAAACAAAAGCCTTCTTAAATAGCAGCATGGTATGGGGTGCAGTCAGGAGCACCAGGGCATGGGAATAAGGGACCCTGGGGGTGGGGGCAGCATGGTATAGTACCATTGCTGCAATAAACAGGTTTGCTAAACCAAGAATTTATTTATTTTTACTGATAATCTGCAAACCTTTTACTGGCAACCAAACTTTTTTAATATGATTGTTGTTAAACCCCTAAATTTGAACCCAGACCTTGTCCCAGGCCCGGCAGAAGGGTTATGTACATTGTAGAAAACATATGTCAGTAAAAAGTTTGCAGATTGTCAGTATAAACATAAAATTAAAAAAAAAAAAGTGGCATTAATAGAGTGTTCCAGAAAGGCTTGTGTTAAAGTTTTAGAGTCCATATTCCAAAAACAAAAAGTTGAAACTTGCTGAACGTTCAGAATGGAGCTATAAGCATGATTAAAGATCTAGAAGAATATGCCCTGTAATGAGAAATCAAAGTTCAATCTATTTCATTTATCCAAGAAAAGGTTATGTGACGATCACAGCACCAAGAGGGAAAGAAACTCCTAATTCATTTATACCTGGGTACTAAAGACTTGATTCACCATTGCATTACTTACACTTTTGGTGTAATGCTACTGATTTCAACTGAACTCCACTGAGGTAGAAACGAGAATAATGAAGCAAATCTACTGTTATTTGTTTGTGCTTTGTTATTCTTGAGGAAAAGCTATGGCAAACAAGTAGATCTTGGAAATCAAGTTCATGAAACTCCCAACTGCCTTCTAGACCTCAAGAAGTACATAACCTACATGTATCTTTAAAACAAAGTTCTCCCATGTACATCTATATGCACCAATACACATATATATTTATATGCACACTCAGAATTCTCAAAACACAAACAAGTCTGTCAAATAGCATTCAATCAACATCGCGACTTGCAACGTGATGTATTGAAGTTCATGTACAAAGTAATGGATATAAATTATGTGGTACCAATGGCAACAGTGCTGCTACCTTTAATAAGAAGAGTTTCAAACATGGAGAACAGAAAAAATTCACCTTGTAAACAGATTTCAAATTTTAAGCATTATAAGTCAATTAAAAAATCTGAACTTGGAGATCAATAGTCCCTTAAACCAATTACTATTACATGTAAAGCTATCTGCAACTTGAATGAAAGTAGACATTACTACAAAATGAACAGCTTAAAAGATCATGGTTTAAAACATTATATAAAGAAGTTTGTTTTTAATTTAGACTAGTGTGGTCTAGAACTTCCAGCATAGGTCCAAAGCTAGGAGTGCTGAGCCCAGTTTCCAGAAGCGTTGTGCATGTACTGCTCTCAATCAATCGATAATATTTAAGGATGCTTTAACCTCTGTCTCTCTATTTATCCATATGTAAATGGCTATATCATACCATTTTCCTCCCAGCTTTTGTGAGTGCTTACATTAATGCAGATAATGCACATTGAGATCCTTGAAACTTTTCTTAAAGAGAAAAATTGCTTTTTTCACACACAGTAGAAATATTATTTAAACAGGCTTTTGTTTCAAAGCACCAAGACTAACTCAGGCATGATTATCTTTGCTTTGACTGTTACGTTTAACTCTAATTATGTTTAACTCAAATGTTCTATTTTTCCTCTGCATTTTAAATAAGCAGTTTTGCTTTCTGGTATGTAAATGAGTGTTTTTTTTGTCTCATTCTTTAGCAAAAATTTGATTTAAGTAATTCACTTTTCTAGTCTAAGAGAGAAATGTTACTCCACAACTTTGGAAGCTTTTACTGGTAGGTCATCACAAAAATATTTGCATACATTCAGAAGCACAATCAGCAACTGATGCTGATTAATAGACTATAACCATACATTTATTTATTTATTTTTATTAGTAGATAAATATCCATGCACTAAATATTTCATATGGTGTTTACCATAAAAAATTAGTGTAGCTACACTGGTACAAGCCTCTGCATGCACTAGTACAATTTCCACCAGGCTTAAACAAGTTTCCAACCTAAAACTATAGAAAGAGTTGCAACTTCTGTTCGAAATAGTAAGAACTGAGGAACAGAATAGACAGGCCCTACAAAAAAAAAAAAAATCCAAGAAGTATCTAATTTTCTGGTAAAGGTTATTTTGTTGTTTTTATTTATGTTCCTATTAAAGGCAAAATTTAGGAAAGGGAAATATTTGGATTTTATCCACAGTTCTTGTATCTTGTTTGCAGCCAGGAAGGCCTGCAGTGCACAGCATCATGCTACAAACAGACCTCTGCAGGGAATGCAGATTATATTAAATATATCTATTCTAGCTATTAACACAGTTCTGTCTATAACATGTAATCTGGAAAGTAGAAGCGTGCCAAATTTGTCTCAAATATAAGCCAAAAACTTAAGTGGGTTCACTACAGTTGAACAAATCTGGCTCAACAGACATAATGTGGGAGACCAAATTATGCTTGTTCATCCCAGTTTTCCAGCTTCTGTCCTGGACATCTCCTCTCTGACATGCAAGTATTTTCATGAGTGTGGATAGGAGGATAATGTACAAGAGGTTTCTCATTTTAAGGAATGAGTTAAAATTGGACTTACATAAAGTATCACTGTTTAACACTCAAGTCAACATGGGCCTTGTTATCAAACAAACTGGGAGAAAAAAATTAATACTCTAACCATACACTGAATGTTGTCCTGCAGCATGAATAGTGCAGTTAAGAGAACAGCGCAGCTTTAAAGTAGGTTTGCGAGAATATGCATTAAGTGGCTAATACATAAATCAGACAAAACATTTGTTTACAGACAAATAAGGTTTTTATATAGCACGTCCTGCTCGCTCAAGCCTTTAACCAACAGAAATGCAAAGACAAGACAAAAAAAGTCTCCACCAGTCTGTGCTGCCTAATCACAAGGACTGCTGTCAATCACATCCTGCACTGCCTCACAGGAACAGAACTTCCACCCCCAGATATCGTCATCACATCTGGCCTGGTGATGTTCACAAAACCCTGCATCCACATGCTGAATAAGAACTTCAGATTCACCAGCCTCTAGTACAAACACATGGATAATTGTATCCCCGCAATATACGTCTTGGGATTTAAACCCTGGTGGTCTTTGTATACATACCAGAATAGAGAACACCTCGCCCAGAGCCCCAGCACACTTCAGCTCACTACTGGAACACCGGATCTAACCAGCATCTAGTGGCACCTCCACTTCATTCAGCCAAATAAAGAGCAAAAAACGCACTTTTTTCATATTCCGTGAAGACAAAACAATACAAATCCCTCAGAAATTACCACCACAGCCACAGCCAGTCATCAGCATAAGTGTTTATTCTACAGAGCTGGCATGTCACTTCAGAGCACTGAAGGCACCCCTTGGCACCATACCGCAGCACACATCGGGGCGCCTTTGAGGTTGTTTTGTACGGTCACGAATCCCATCTGGTAAAACCATTTTGTTCCTTGCTCTTACACGCAGGCGGAGGCTCGTCCGCGTGCCCCGTAGGAATGCTTTTACTTCGGATTCATCTTTCCGAGTTGACAAGAGAGAGAACAACATTCATTATCACCAGGCACTGCAAAGCCAGGTGCAGGCTGGCAGTCATCTGACTCCGAGGATTACTCCACTGCACGGGGATGCCCTTAGTTACCAACTTGATGTCCCCTAACAAAACAAGAACAGTTGAAACATTCCCGCAAGGCCTCTGTGTCATGCCGGGATCTGCCCGCTGCTGGCGGAGAGCAACAACCATGTCTCCATCCCCCCGCCCGGGCACCGCAGCCGCCCGCGCCCCGCGCCCGAGCTCGCCTCTTCCGCGGCGCTGCCATGGCCGAGGGGAGGGGGCTGCCCGGGCGGGTCTTACCTTCGGAGACCTCCAACTCCGCCGTGCCATTGAGCTGATAGAGGCACCAGTCCACGGCATCCTCGCCGGGGGCGCAGCCAACTAGTCAAACAAGCAAAGCCACAGTCAGCGCGCGCCCGGGGAGCGGGGAGGGACGGGGACGGGGACGGGGACGG